CCCTGCCACAAGGTCAAGGGCGAGGTCCTGCAGCCGGGTCGGGGCAACCCACGGTACCAGTACAGGCTGGGAGGGAGGGAGGGAGGGAGGGAGGGAGGGAGAGCAGCCCTGCAGAGGGGGATTTTGGGATACCAGTGGATGAAAAATCAGGTATGAGCTGGCAATGTGCGCTCACAGCCCAGTTAGCTGATCCTATCCTGGGCTGCGTAACAAGAAACGTGGCCAGCAGCTGGAGGGGGGTGTTTGTCCCCTTCTCCTCTGCTCTCATGAGACCCCACCTGGAGTCCTGCGTCCAGCTCTGAGGCCCCCCAGCACCAGAGAGACATGGACCTGTTGGAGTAAGTCCAGAGGAGGGCCACGAAGATGGTCAGAGGGCTGCAGCACCTCTCCTATGAAAAAACAGGCTGAGAGCTGGGGTTCTTCAACCTGGAGAAGGCTCAGGAGACCTTATAGCGGCCTTCTAATATATAAAGGGGTTAATAAGAAAGACGGAGAGAGACTTTTTACCAGGGCCTGTAGTATTTACTGTTTTTGCAAGGGACAACTGTTTTAAACTGGAAGAGGTGATGGGGTCCCACTCCCCAGCAAGGGGAAAGGCGGGCACAGCCGGCTGGGAGCGGCCGAGGCGTCCCCCTGCCACGGGGAGCGAGAGGCGCAGGGTGGCCGGGGGCCAGGCTGGAGAGCCCCGAGCAGGGCCCGGGCCTGGCTCTCCCGCTGCCCCCGGCTCCGAGCCCGGCTGGGGCAGGGCGAGCTGCGGAGCTGGCTGGGAACAGCCATGAGATGGCGGCAGGCGCTCACGCTTGGCTCTCCCAGCCTGGGGTGCCTGACGGGTGTCTGCTGGCACAGGGGTGCCCGGATCCCGCACCGCCAGCCCCCGCACTGCTGGCAGGGAGAATGTCAGGCGCCAGCCTCGAGCCCAGCCTGGGACATCCCTTGTCCCCCGGTGAGGCAGGACTGAGGGGACAACAGCCACTCACGGGGCTCTGAGCTGTCTGTCCAACCTGGGGTCCAACCCTCCCCGTCCAGGACCTTGAACCCACCACCCGATAAGGGTGGTTAATGATCAGTGCTGGGATGACCCAGCCAGGGGCACGGTGCTGGCTGCCCCAGGAGTGACACCCGGGCAGAGCAGTGCCCTGCCCCATGGCCCCAGCACCTGGTGGCAGTGCCAGGCTGGCCAGAGGGGACGTGCCCTGCACCCATGGCCCTGGACACCGCCACAGCAGAGGCCTGCTTGTGGGCTGGACAGCCTGGCCTGCACCAAGTAGGGCAGGAGCTGGTGCTGTGCTCTCCCTGAAGTGAAGACAAACCAAACCTGCCTCCGGCTGGGCTGCCAGCAGCCACACTGGGCACGCTGAGGTCTCCCCATCCGGGCTCCTGCCTGGCAGCACCCAGACGAAGCACTGAGAGAGGCACCAGGACAGCTTGGACCCAGCTCCCTGGGGCATCATCCTGCACTGCAATGGGACAAGGCAGGGACAGGGGTATCACAGGCAGGCAATGGAGACAGGGCAGGATGGCTCAGGCATCCCTAAAGAGCAGGCCCAGCCTGGTGCTGCCGCGGGGTGCACAGGGTCTGGGGTGCCGGTACCCAGTGCCAGAGTGCGATGCTGGTGCTGGCACACGATGCGTGGTGCCTGGTGAGCGGTGCCCAGCGCCCGCTGCCCACGCGTGACGCACGGTGTGCAGTACCTGATGCTGGTACCGGTGCCGGTGCCACATGCTGCGTTGTGCCCAGGGTGCTGTACCCACCGTGCTGCACCAGCGCTGGCTCCCAGCTGCCTGGCGCACACTTCCATCGTGCAGCGCACAGCATGTGGCACCCAGTACCTGGTACATGGCACCGGGTCCTGCCCATGCCAGTTCCTGGTACCTAGCACCCGGTGCACGGTGTGTGATGCCGGTAAGCGGTGAGCGGTGCCCGGTGTACGGCACTCGGTGTATAGCACATGGTACCCAGGGTGCCAGAACCAGTACCCAGTACGCTGTAGCCGGTACCCGTGGCCTGGTAGCGGGTGTGCGGTAGCTGGGACAAGGTGCCTGCTCCGC